TTTTAAAGATAACATGATTGATTACCTTTATTTTATCCATGACTTTTTTTCCAGTAATGACTGATTTTCTATATTTGAAACTTGAAAATATACAACTGACAACAGTGGCATCTTCTGGCCACTCATAACTGTTTTTCTATATAGCAAAGAAAAAATTCCAGATGTATTTTCTTCTGCATTGTCCTGGAGAGCTCGTGACACAACTGCTTGCAATACACCAGACAAGGTCTCTTCCTGGCATCCTTACCCCCTTTTAACATGGATCACTCTTTCTATGTCCATTGTACATACATATATATCTTTGTATTTTTTACCCCTTCAATCTGAGGAAATCCTCTTTGAATATCAGAACAAATAAAGAAATTGTTTTTTATGTAATATGTATATACATGTTATATATATATTTTTTTTTTCAGTACTGAGAATTGAACTATGTATCACCAACCTACATGCACAGCCCTTTTTATTTCCTATCTGAGGCATGCCCTAAGTTGTCCAGGCTGATCTTGAACTTGCAATCCTCCTGGCTGAGCCTCCTAAGTAGCTGGTATTACAAGTGTGCACCACCACACCCAGCACATAGAATGAATCCTATTTCAAGAATCTTCATTCTGTAAAGTTCAGGAGACAGACTAGACCAGACTGTAATAGAATGGCTAGGACAAATCAACAACTTTTAAAAAATTTTTCTGCTCAGTTATAAAAGCAGAGATTTAAAATAAGCAACTCCTAAGGTACTTTTCTTCTGTGAAAGTATATCTGAATGATTTGTGTCTGATGCATTAGTTTACAGTTAGTGTTTGTTACATGGATACAGTTAATATTTAATGTGAATGAGCAAAGAGTCCTAGGGAGGGATAGATCATTAATCCACTCTTTCTACTTTAGTTATACAGAAAAATGTTCAATTCACATATATCAAAACAAGTATATGCTCCTTTCATTGTTTTATATCCAGTAGCTCATACTTTAAAAAACCTGAATTTTGATGAGTTCTGCTAGTATCCAGCTGTGTGGCCTCATAGCAAAAATCTTCACTTGAACCTCAATATTCTCAATTGCAAAACGAATAGAAGAAAAATTGCTGTGCTTTCTTTCCTAACATAAGAAGTTATGAGATTAAATGAGGTATTGCTTGTGAAAATGTTTCAAATTGTTGAAAATGCCAAATTAGCTACATCCCCTCATTTTAAATATAGAAAACTGCTTTGAAAGCATTCTAGTGACTAGAAAGGGATCAAGACTTCCATTCCACTACTTATATATGCTCTGCAATCTTGGAGAAATAACTTCACCTTTTCGAGTTTCATATTTTTCTACTACAAAATTGGAATGTTTATAAAATCTGTTTCATTTTTTGCTTCAAATATTAATATGTAAAATGTTGGCACAAAGTCAGACACATGATAAATTTTCATAAATATTTGTTCTCACTGCTGTTATCCTTATTACCTATAGAATCATGGATAATAGTTTTGTGAACTGATCATAAAGCATGCAAACATTTCATGTATGTGTGGTGGAGGTAGAGCGAATCCTTGAGCCTTCTGAAGCTCTCCTTGACTCTGCTAGACACTGCAGCCATGCTATGACCTGATCTGAATTAGGTATCACCCCTCACCATGAGAAGAATTACCCACAACCCACTTGGTGAATTAGGTCTCATTATTGGTATTATTTAGGGTTTACTATTTCTGTCTTTGCTGACCCCACCTCAGATCTTCCTCCTAAGTCTGCTCTTTCCTTTTGTGTGATTTTTCTTGTTTCAGTGTGCAGTATTAATGTCATAGGGTAATCTATCATAACACCATCTTGGAAGGGAATGTTGGGTGCATTCTAAAAGATGTCATCAAATGCATAATCCAGATGGTTGAAAAGGTGTTCTCAATGTGACATGTCTATTACAGTGCCAGCCAAGCCAGAGTGTGGCCCATTCCATTCGCAGTAACACAAAGATTCTCTTTAGAGGGGGGCTCTTCTACTCTATGATTCAATGTTGATTTTCACTTTTGGTTGTGTCTTTCCATCATTGCATAAAAGCAGACTTCTGAAGAAACTCTGTTTTGCTTTGACTAAATTAAAAAATGTAATAATGATTTCTTTATGTCTGTGCTAGAAATGGTAGATAGATATCAATATCAGAAAGTGTGCCAGTACTCTAACATTTGGCACCTAGGGTGGGCATTAATCATTCCAGACATTTCCTACTGATCAGTCTGGTTGTTTCCTCAAAACTCTTAGTATAGCTCCCCAGGTAGCCACTTTCAATATGTCACATTTGGCACATGATAGGGTATCTATCTGCTTTCTCTGAATAAGGTCTACATAACTAGAAAAAAATCAAGTTTCCTACTCCTGGGCACCAGATCACTCAACCTATAAGTAAGATTAAGTTACTGAATACCCCATCTGGGGACTTTTTAAAACCTTATAACAAAGGAAAAAGAACTACATTGCAAATGATTGTAAGACTTACCCAACATGTACAGGCAGAAGCTTGAGGCAGCATTCAAAGGGGGCTGGCTTGATTAGAATTATATAACTGTTAATAGAACATGTGATCCCCAGAGTAAAATACAAGGGAAGTCAATAAGGCTACAGCACAGCTTGCATCAGCACAAGACATTCAAAGAAGTCAAGCACTATCAGCCCTTTCCAAGTTTGGGGATCTGTGCCAGTTTTCAGACTCAACACTCTTTGAAGGTGCAGTTGGGTCTCGACCCCAGTGAGTTTATACAGCAAGAACTCCTTTATTCCTGCCCCAAAAGACCTATGGACTTTTACTCAGAAGCAGTACACTAGAGAAAAAGAAATGTCTAGCATTTAGGTGACCATTGGATGCAAGATTGAACTAATACTATTATTTAGAGACTGGTCCAAATAATAAATAGAATTATGGCTAAGTTTTGACTTCCAGTGGATCCAATATGTCCACAGTTCTACCTGGTGATAGTTGCCCATCTCTGGATGTGTAACTGGGATTGAAACACTTGGCAGTTGGTGTAGCTTCCACTTTCAGTCCTTGGTCTGTGCAGAAGGATTTGTCATAGTGGGGAGGGGGGATTACTAACTTTGCTCTTTCCAGTCTAGAAGCATTATTACATTCAAGTGATTCTAAAAAGGCCAAGGTGGTGGTCCCCATTTTAGCCCCATTTAATTCATTAATCTGTCCTTTGAAAAAACTGAATGGATCCTAAGAGATGACTGTAGACTCTCATAAAGTCAATCAAATTGAGTTTATGCAGACTTGGGACCAAATATAGTATCTTTGCTAGAGGAGATTAATATGGCCTAGGAGACATGGTCTATAGCCACTAATGTACAAAACATGTTCTTTTCTATCCCAGTAAGGAAAAAGGATTACAAACAATTCACAATCACATGGATTGGACAAAAATTACATGTATGATTTCACCTCAGGTTGTATAAACTTTATTACCTTCTTCTTTGTTGTGATCCAAGGAATATGGATAATCTGGTCATTTCATTCATCATGTTGATCTGTGACATCAATGTACATATGTAGAGCGGGGAGGATGAGCAAGAGGTGACTGGCACACAGGAGTTCTTGTTAGTATACATGTACCCAACAGAGCTGAGAAGACAGTGTAGAACACCGGGGGAGTGACACAAATATATTATTTTAGGGTTCCACTGATCAGCAGTATATTGGAACATCCCATCCTGATAAAAAATCAAAGCACTGCATCTTACAAGCACTGTGCTCCTACCACAAGAAAGGAGCACAATATCTAGTGGACTGACTATTTTACAAGTAAGAATATAGCTTTGGCCCTAATTAGGGGTATCTGACAGTCCAAAAGTTCTGTAAGTTGGGTCTAGGACAGCAAGGGGGGCTTTTCAGCTCATCCAGGCTTCGGTGCAAACAGCCCTGCCACTTCGCCTGTGGAACCCAACACACCCTATGATGTTGGGAGAATCAGTGGTGGAAAAGATGCATGTGAAATTTGTGACAAGACTTAATGGAAGAATCACAACGTAAGTTCCTGCAGTTCTGAAGCAAGGGCATGACACATGCAAAGACTTATATGTGTTTCAAAACAACTCTTCTTCTGAAGGCCATTTTACTTTGCTGCTCAAAATTAGTTTAAAGACCACTTCATTTTAATACCAAAATGTGCATAAAATAAAATAAGGGAATAAAAACATAAATAAGTACATGAAAGCAGTACTGGCCCAGACCATGCTCAAATACTGGTGAGTTGGTGCCCCACTGACGTTATGAGTCACCGTCAGTAGAGGATGCTGTTGTATCTTTTATAAAATGTTCTTCCAAAGAAAGCTTTCAAGGTCTGTGGCCTATAACAAGGGCAGGAAAAGGAAATGAAAATGAATAGCAGGGATGGGGACTTCCTGCTGGGCAAAACAAGGACTGAAAAAGCCCAGAAAACACAAGATTATAAGAAGATGGAGGCTGTGATGCCAAAACTGTCTGGAGAATAATACTCAAGGGTGATTTTTAAAGACAAAAAACCTATATAACTGAGGTATTTATATACTGTTATCTCCTCCAATATGTGATTTAGTTAATGTAAGAGCTGACCATTCCTGGATTTCTGGAAGCTTGATCTTCATTAAACAAAGTTGCTCTAATATAGCATATGGGTTAGGAAAATTCTGGATTTATTCCAATGCTTTTTTTTTCTCTGTCAACATTTAATATATTTTCCAGTTGCCTTACATTTTACTTTTATAATTTTTAATCATACATAAATTAAAATTCTCATGTTTTTGATTTTGTCTTTTTCTTTGTTATACCTTCTTTTGCTTCTAAACTGAATTAATATTTCCCCAATAAAACCGATACACATTTTCTGACAGTATCTTTATAACTAAATTTTAATAAAATTTTGGAAAAATTTTTAGAATGTGTTTTAGAATGACTACTTTGTCATCCACTCAATTCTTTTATGTAGTTGAAGCTTCTTCTGATTTCCTTTGCTATCCTACTGAATAGTTTCCATTACTTACATTTTTTTGCCCATTAAAATATTGTTGCTTTAGAATATGTATTTGGCTAGAGTATTTCACAGGGAACTGGTTGTTTTTCAGAATATATGTTTTTCATGTTTCAAAATATTATTGGAAGATTCACTGAAACTGAATTAAATCTTATTGCTTTTTGACATTCTGGTAAACTCAAGTGTATGTACAAAGATTCGTGCCACTCTCCTACTGGCTTAGTTTGTATAGTTCTTTCATTTGTATGCATGTTTACAAAACAATAATAATACATAACATAAAATAAATCATCAACCCAAACATTTGAATAGGGCTGGGAAGCACTGTTATGTGCTCATAGGGTTACAAGAGCAGGAGCAACCAACTGTGGTTGAATTCCAGGCTGAAGCTGAAGTCAGCAATGTCAGGTCAAACATCCTACGCCATTAATCTGAGCCCCAATTCTTTTCCTTGTAAATTATTTACAGCAGTGGCTCCCATATAGACAGCCTTCAATCCTGTTGGCCATTCCACATTGTTTCCCTCATCTTTTGCAATTTTCACAACAAATTTATGATGTGGATGCACAAATCATTTTTGGATTTCAACCCAGCTTTTTCTGAAGTAAAGAGCCACACTCTTCTTTGTAACCTACACCTGTGTTTCTGATGTCATCATTCATGAACATGAAGAGCACTCTTGGATCCTGGTGACATGCAGCTGCATGTCCACAGGGTTAGCAGAGAGACTGTCTGTGGGACTGCCCTATGCTAAATTTCTGTCTTTCAGACCTTGGGCCAGCATCATGTCCTGGGAGCTAAGTTGAGGTAAGACTTTTGGCCTCAGATCCAGTAAATAACAATCTAGTTCTTAACAAGATCCCTGGAAGATGAATTTCTTTGTTAGACTTTAAACTGCACTTAACAAGGGGTATGTAAACTTTTTCTCTAAGTATTTAGGTAGCAGATATTTTAGGCTTTGCAATCTCTGTTCCTTTGCACGTAAGTCTTAGAAGCACCAGATTTAACTCATCCTTTCTTCCTTCATAAGGCAGGGTGGTGTCTGATGAATTAAGGTCTCACTAGGCCTTAGGCAGTGCCTCATAGGGTCTTATTTTACCTTGGAAAGCTCCATAGGCTTCAAAGTGTCTGAAAAGAAGGTGTCTTCTAGTGAAAAAAGACCTCTGTGTGTGTATTATGCTTTGTTTTTAGATGTTCCCCCAAAGCCTTATGTAAATAAGGTGGGACCTTTTCTTGGAGATGGCTGGACCTAGAATGTGTGATGCTAGAATTGATTCATGGTGCAATGCTAGGCTCAAGGGAACTAGGATTAAGGGTGTGGGTGCTACCTGCCCTAAGCAGTCTGGTTAAGATAAAGGAAGATGCTGTTAAGATCCCTGTTGTTTTTGTTGTCTCCAGTCTGCCATGAACTACTGCCTGTCTGCCATGCCACCCTCCTTTGAGCCAGCTTATTATGGATTTAAACCTCTACAAACTGTGAGTTAAATATACCCTTTCCCATTTAACTTTGGGTGTTGGGTCTTTTGTCTCAGCAAGGACAGAAAAGTAACTAAAACAGTGTGTGAAATGAAATTAAACTGAGTGAAAATATCTGACTCCACATAAATATGAGCCACTCATTGGCAATTCTGAAGGACACCACAATATACTAAAACAAGAACCTCGATGTCAGTGTTCATAAGAACAGTGAGGGACTCTGAGCAGACTGCAGTTGCTATGAGCACAGGATCTGCCTGCAAGCTTGGGAGAGACCTGGGAGTCCTCAGAGGCTTCTTTTGCAGGCTTTAGTAAAGCAAGGGTGCCAGAGACAGCTGGGACAGCCCTGGACCAGGCAGTGTAGCAGAAACTAGACTTGGCACTTAAGCCAGAAGAGCTCCAATGAAGTCGCAAGAAGAAAAAAACCGTGGAATTTCAAATGTTTTTTTTAATTTGAGTAGCTGAATCAGATTTCTTCAAGAGTACAAAATGTCTGGATATATCCACTAGAGGTCATGCTTGAGTCTATACTAAGACCAAATTACTGTCAGAGCAATAGTTCTTAAACATTTTACTTTCAAGATCTCTTAAAACATAAACATTTAGGAAGACCACAAAGAGTTTTGGTTTAAGGTTGTCACATCTACTGATATATAGTGCATTAAAAATAAAAGCTGAGAACTTCTAAAATATTTATTTATTTTGAATACTTACAATAAATCATTACCTGTTAATATATTTTTGTGAAAATAACCATATTTTCCAAAAAAAAAGCATGGCTATTGAGAACATCTGTTGTTTAAAATCTTCTTACTGCCTGGCTTTAAACACCTGGATTCTTACATCTGCCCTGCATTCAGTGTGGTGCAGTGGCATGTATCCTGTAAGATTCCACTGCAAACTGTGAGACTATGAAAGTAGCAACAACTGTTATGTGATCTCTTGGATTCCATAAAGAATCTCATGCAGGACCCCAGTGTTTCTTGTGCCACATCTTGAAAACCATGGTTTAGAATTATGATCAAGCTAGGATTTCAGAGCAGAGGGAATAAAAATCAAAATTGATTATTTGGACATTTTCACACCTTCACAATCTGTCTCTAAATATCCTTTCTAGTATTTATCTTCATTTCTCTTCTACCTAAAATGTGAAATTAGGTTGCTGTATCAAACTACAAAATTCTCAATTGTAAACTTTTAAATTTGAAATTTTGTGTTCAGAATACTTTTACTAAAATGTTTGAATCATTTCAGCTCTTTTTCCATGGTTGAACTACAAGAAAAGAACAAGATCTATTATGCATGAATTACCAAAGTTGAACGAAGAAGACCTAAAAATTCTAAACAACCCAATATCAATCAATGAAATTGAAAATGTAATTAAACACTTACCAACTAAGAAAATCCCAGGTCCTGATGGCTTCAATGCTGAATTCTACAAGATGTTTAGAGAGGAACTACTGCCACTACTGTTTAAACTCTTCAATGAAATTGAAAGGGAAGCAAAACTCCCTTATTCATTCCTGGAAGCAAGCATCACCTTGATCCCCAAAGCAGAGAAAAACCCAACAGAAAAAGAGAGCTATAGGCCAATTTCATAATGAACATAGATGCAAAATTCCTTAATAAGATGCTGGCAAATAGAATGCAGAAGATCATCAAGAAGATCATAC